CCCCCCCCCCCCCCCCCCCCTCAAAAAAGGGCAGACAGGGTGCCAGGCGCATTCCTGCTTGGTTCAGCTCATATTTGTCGGCTCACCCCACACCACAGAGGAGCCCTAAAGCCATCAGAAGAGAATGAAGCTTCCATCTGTTTTCAATGGTAGATGGTTGGGACACAAAAAGGCCGATGCAGGGGGTTCCGGTCTCACATTCCTGCGAGGGCATCACAAAAACTGCTCCAACAAAGCACTGATCGTGACCTTTAAATACAAGCAGACCCCCGAGACTGAACAGAACTGAAGGGCGACAGACCTCTTAACTTGACATATTATCACCCCCCCCCCCCCCTTTCAGATTTTTGGGGAGTTCAGATTCACCAAAAAATAAGAAATAAAAAAATGTGTCCAATCACAGTCCAATCAACAGTTCATCAACACATATATAGATTTACTACAATAGATCAAATCATGAATTCACTGAATGGTACTAAGTCAACTAACCGGGTCCTTAGTGAGACATTCATTGCCACTTGTTTCCTGTAAACGCTAACTGGATATTCCCCCTGCTTTTAAGCAATTCTTCGTGAAAACATGCAGAAAATAAAAAATAAGTCTGTGACTGAATAAAATCATGTATGATTTCAGTTTTTTTATACAGCACCCAGCTCTTCATATTGATTCAGTGTGATCATTAGTAATTAGAAATATGTTGGCTGCACATGGTTTCTGCTTTTATGTTAATTCCCTGGAAAAGTAAATTGCAGCTGTTCAAAACGTTGCAGTATGATAGTGGGCAGGTTATATTGAAGTGAGGGTCAAAACCTTAGTTGCATGTTCTCTATTGCCATCTAGTGAGACATGGGTAAAACTGTTCAATTTGGGTTTTTGGATGTTTTTGGTATTGTGTACTCAACTAGATCAGACTTTTGAATTTTCAAAGCTTTTTTGAATAAGAAGCATGCAGCAATGGGTGAGAAATATGACTATCCCTTTAATTATAATGTTGGGTTATTAACTTAAGTCCTGTCTTTAAGCTCAGTAAATCTTACAAAACAGTGAAATCAGGTGCCTTTTAAAGAATTACCCCATACTTAATATATATGTATTTCAAAGATTATTTTTTATCTTACTTAAATACTGTCAGCAAATATGGGTTCACTCTTATTATCATGTAGTTTTTCATTATCACAGATTGCAGGGGGGTTGAACTTTATGCTTAAAACAGCACAATGCACTGTAGCTTCAATATGGTAATAGCACAATACCGGCCCCATAAACTATAGAATGGCATGAGGCCATTAACAAATATTGTTTAAAAAAAAACAACTAAAATAAAGCAAATGTGCCATCTAGTGGTTGATTAATTTACATGTGTTTCTACATTTTGAATGGGAATTTAGTTTCAACACAAAATCCTCTCAATGTTTCTCACCACAATCAAAGCATTTTAAAATAGATTGGATGCATCTAGATCTGGCCCAGTCAGTGTTCTACCGTCAATCAAATTATACTGGCCCAGGGCAAAGATTCAGTCCTCTACAGCCAACTCTAAAAGTACCCTGATAACCTGAGCTGAGAGGATTAGCCTCGTAATCTCAAACACTGTTGGGCTAAATCAGGGACAGTGGACCCCCTGCTGTTTACGGCCACAGCAGTAAATCCGGGCCTTGTTCTGTGTGAGGAGTTCACCTTCGCTGTACTGCAAGACTGCTAATTCTGCTTGGCAAAGGTATCAGAGAAAGTGCTGTGATACGTCTGTGAGACTCTACCCAGAGATTGATGTTACCAGTGGTGCAGACAGCTTGGAGTTTTGGTTTCTTTGCATCATACACAGAATACATGCAATAATAGAGACACTTACTTTTGCCATGACGTACATGGGTAAGTCCGGGTGAATGTGCTGTAATAGTCTTTGAGGGACTGTAATTAAAGAGACAGAAGCAAGAGCAGGGGTTTTAAGCTTTGAAACAAATTAGTCTTCCAAGTGAGAATGTGTTGTTTATCTAATAAAAAGGGCATCCTTACATTGCTGTTGCTTGTCTGCTCACGTCTCATCTCAGCTAAATGTAATGTCCTGCAAATGAACAAGACATACTGTACACAAGAGGACATGATTAGTCTCTGAGAAAGAAGAGAGAGAACAGGGAAACCCTGGGATTTTACATGTTGACCCATTTTGAGCATGATTCCAACATCCAATAATATTGCCTGAAAAAGCAGTGAAATGGTGCAAATGACCATGATGGCTGATGTCTGCATTTATTCTGATGTCCTTGCACTCTGCTGCGGCACTGAAAGAGTTAAGGATGGAGCGATGAGCACTGCAGGGTGGTGGATGAGATTTCATATACTCTAGCCATAACACGAGCACAGCATGACTTGGATGTTTATCCAATATACCATCTTCAGAGACAGCAGAGCCTGAGGAGGTGAGTGCACTTATTTGATATATTAGTAGTCTAGAACCAGTGATGAGGCAGGAAGGGATGCAAACATCACTTACAGTATCTTTCTATGTCTTTCAATCTCCATTCAAAATCTTTACATGCAGTTTTGTTATACTGTATGTGGTAACTGGTTTATGTGTATCTCCAGCAAAACCCTTTCATGGATGCAATTAAAAAAACTTTGCATCAGACTTTGTGACTATAGGAAATTCATCTGACGCGTATTAGATGGATGAGTGTGCTTCCTTTATTTCTATCTGTACTCTTCTCCAGGCCCTGGCCACTGAGAAAGATGAGAAGAGGAGACATGTCTCTTTTAAAGCAGCAGTCAAGTCCTTGCTTGGGAAAGAGTGAGCTCCTTTACTTTCCCTTGCTCATCAATGTCTCTCTGTAATGTAAATGCTTTTCTCTTGTGTTGTTGACCTCTCTCTCTCTCAGATATAATTTTGTCAAAGAGCCAACTTGGGGGGCTCAGCCATTAACAGCAGAGACTTGTCTGAGAAAAGACAAAACAGAGAAGATAAAGACAGCAGAGTATAGAAAGCTGGGTCTGAGATAGGGCTATGAGTGGTTGGGTAATGGCCTCCTATGGGATTATCACAGTTAATGGGGAAATAATGAACGATGAGTCTTATTCACCAAAGTAACTGTGGAGACGATTGAAAGTCATCTCCATACTTCCACATTTTCAGTGCATTTAAACAGACTCACAAACACAAGGGGCACACACACCCACATCAGCACAGAGTGAGCACCATTAGGATATTTCCCACATTAGTGTCAAATGCTTTCTGCAGAGCTACACTATATATAACTCTGTTACGCAGCCATCTGATCTGATGTTTCCTGAACCAGATACGTTGATCAATAACACAAAGGCTACTGTGAATGCTGAATAAAAACATGTATCAACTGTGTTATCGGGGTGCTGAGTTGGCGACTCCTCAATATAGATGGAAGGGTATTTTTATCATTTAGGGATTGATTGATCACCCTGCAGTGGTGGGGTGAGAATCAGCAGGTACCTCATGTCAACAATGAATGAGTTGTTTCTCTCTTTGGAATTCAAGCATGCAGAAATGCAGCATGTGCAGCATCTGTTGACTCACTGTCATATTGTTGTTATACTTCAGGGAACATGGTATATCACAAGCAGATATGAAAAAAACAACAAACGGGTCCAGGGCATGGTGACATTGGGCTAATTATTATTATTATTATGCTGAGAAACAGCACCAGAACCATACAGTATGAAGGTTATTTTACCACATTGACTGCTGGAGGAGTGGTCTCATCATTGACATAAATGATCAGTCTAGTCCCTTTGTTATCAATAGCTGGGCAGGAAGTATAAATAAAATGCACTATGCAGCTCTGCATCATGTACAGATAACAAATGGGATATGGGGTCAGTTCTCTTTGCTATCACACAAATGTGAGTGATAATCTGAGTATACGGGAGCAAAATGCCTTCTGAGGGCAATTATTTGTTTTTAGAGTGACTTTTAACGGGACAACTGAGCTGAATGATGTATTCTGTCATCAGGGCCCAGATAAAAACAGACCGCCAGCAATAAATGATCATAACAGGTTGTGACTTACTGAATGAAAAGGACAACTGTGATGACTGCCTCGTTGGGATGCCTCTTTGCCACAGCAGTAGTGAGGAATCTATTTTCCTCACGACCTCTCTGTGTGTGCCCACTGCCCAATGTGCTGTATGTAAGCGTATGAGTGAGTGACACATTGTGTGCGTGTTTGTGTCTGAGAGTGACAGTAAGAGAGAGAGAAATAAACAGAGCAGAAGGCACCATGCCCTGTCTACTCTGAGTGAGGCAGTCTTTGTTGACAACCAGTTTTGACATAGTCTCAGGATTAGCAGCTCTGTCAACATAAGGCCACTGGCTCCTTAAAATAGAGAGATGGGCAGTCAGAAAAACAAAACTATAACTGTATGCCACCGTAGACTTATATATTGACTGAGCCTGACCCAGATGCAGACAGAAGGTACCACTGAATCTGTACAATGCTTCAATTGAGATGACGACACGTATAAATATGGCTACTATGAGCAGCACTGAAGGTAAGCGCAGAACTGATGAAATGCATATAAATGCAAAACAAGACAATATGCAAAATGGCTATGAAGTGAAGTTACAGTATAGGGCTACTCTCTGCATCACTGCACATCTGCTATTTTGGAAGGAACATGGTCAACAGAAAGGAGTCTGACATTGGGTTGGTCACATATGGTCAAGAGAAAATGTAGAGCATGTGTGGTGGAGATGAGTCTCTGCTGGGTGTTGAGTAGCTCAGACTCTATGGCCTAACTTTTCATTTATTCAGTTTGCCAAAACCTGAATTAATGAGCAATTTTTTAAGAAATTGCTAAGTAATTTTGACTTGATGCACGGAACTGAATAAAAAATTAAATAAAAAAAATAATAGCAAATTCCGCCTGTCATCGGTTATTAACGCAGGATTAATGCTAAAACGTGCAACTTTACGACGAAGTGCATGATAGAGGTCAGTAACACAAGTAGAGTCAATACATTCAGCATTTTAGTGTCATGTTAACATTACGCATAGTCTCGCAATAAATATATTGGTACGTTGGTTGAAAACAAGCCAAACATAACTTTGTTAACACCATAATGTTTCAAGTTACCGTTTATGATGGCGTAACCGTTGACTTTGTATAATTCAACGAGCTAAACTAGCTAGCTAGCTGCTACATGATTAGCCTTCTTATAGCTAGTCTATTGATTAGACCAGCTAACGTTATAGCTAACGATCGCTTGCGATAGCCGCGGACTGATTCCAAGAAAGTGTGTTTAGTTTATCGTTATACACACAATAATGGTTCATTGTTTATACCTTTGATGGAAAAGCGGAATACGTTAGTTTATTTCCCAGGATTTGTGGGTGATTAGCTTAGCGTTAGCTAGTTTCTTTCAAGTTGTCAGGTGGGAAGAACTCTGTTACAATATGAATGTTTCATCTCTAACTGTATGTGTGTGTGTGTGTGTGTTTGCTCCTGACTGTGTGAAAAAAAAGAAACACGAGTATTTGTTTCGTGGAAATTATTTCGGCGGGTTTGAGTGGTCAATTAATAATTGATTAGGCCATCATCTCCAGATCAATACAGCTTTGTGAGAATATCCATTTTCACAGTGTGCACGTGGTGCCATAAAGCTCACAGCTGTTGTCAGGATAGTGTTGTGTGTCCGGAATGATAAGCTTCCTGGAAGCACCCTGGCAGAGCGGAAAATTGGCTTATATGGCACCGTTAGGCAGCACGGCCTTTCTCTATTGTTGCCTCAGCACTCCAATGACCAGAACTGTACCCTGTATTACACGGATATCAGCTAGACTCTGTCAGATCACTCGGGTTATCCGCTTGCAGAAATAGACAGTTCTCTGGTTGACATAGCTGCGGTACATTGTGTGTCTGTGAGCATGGCTGTAAACAGATGGAGTGTATCCTGGATTATATAGTAAAAACAAGTGTTATTTACAGCTGTGCTGTTGATAAGGGCTAAAGCAGAGTTATTGTCATTGTACCACTGCACAATTCAAAATGCTTTCAACTTAAATATGATATTCTACTGGACTAGCTTGTGTTTCCATTTCATTATCCCATTACAGTCATTTGCTGATAAGTCTAAATCTAAGTGACTTGTCACGTTATATAATGTAGATGACAAGGCATTGAATGAAAAAGTACAACAAATAAAGACGGCAAACAGGAACACAGGGTAACAGGAAAAGCAAATGATGGACAACAATAGCAAAGACCGATAACGTGATAAAATAAATGTTAATAGTGACTCTAGAATGAACTGGGAGCCTATGAAAACAGGCTAAGATAGGTATCATACATCTACGTTATATTGACGACCTGTAAATCTTGTTAGAAAGTGAAGTGTTTAAAAGTAATGTTGTAGGACATGAACAATACACAGAGCTCTCCAGGTGGTGATGCGGTGCAGCAGTTAGTTCATGAATGTCCTTCAAGCCTTACACAGGTAGATTTGCTTGTTTATAAAACAGAATAAACTGGTCAGAGCAGAGCGAGTAGGTCCTCTTCGTATCCTCATGTCACCGTCGCCAGTCATTTTACGGCAGCCTTTACCTTCTTGCAGACATGCCTCGTCAATTCCCGAAGGTAACTCTGAGTGAGGCAGAAGAGGCGACACAACTGTTAACAGAGAAAGTGTATGCGTCAGCGCTAAAGGAAGAAGACAACAAGGATGTCTTATCGATGTTCACCGTGCCTGAGGACTGCCCAATTGGCTTCCAGCAGGCCAAGGACCGTGAAATGCTGAAGGAGCTGGCAGAGCAACATTCAGAGGAGAGCACCAAGAGGTAAGGCCTGCGATTGGTTTGGCACCAAATCAGAGAGGATGTCGTCATCAGTCAGATCAATGTCATAAATGAAACGTTGAGCTTATATCAATTCTATTGCTAATGTCGCAGGAAGAAAAGCTTGAAGGTGATTCGTTCCCAGTCAATGTCCCTGCTGATGCCAGTGAATACAGATGGTCCGCGGTCAGGGGCAGCCACGCCATACATGTCCCCCAGCTCCACCTGCTCATCACTGCCAGAAAACTTCCCTGATTACCAGAGGGTCACTATTAGTGGTGATTACTGTGCGGGAGTAAGTACTGTAGACACAAACATGTGCATCAACATTTTGCAGCTCTACATCGTGTACATTTACTGCTCCCATCTCATGTTAACAGAATGTTGAAAAACATGCCAAGGTTGCATACAATGTGTCACGTCCATTCCCCATTCAGATCACAGTGGAGGACTATGAACAGGCAGCCAAAAGTCTGTTTAAGGGTCTGCTTATTCGCGAGAAATACTCAAAGCTAGCCTACCATAGATTCTGCAGAACCACAGCCCAGTTCCTCCGCAGCGCTGACTGCACGAGCTGGAGCGAAGAAGATGAGGTTCTTCCAGGTTTGAAGTGTATACACATTATGGTAATGGATACACTCACTGATGTTTCATTCTGGTTTGGATGACAGCAACAGAACAATGTTGTGGTCTCCAGATATGTGCCCGTGTCCAACAGATGGAGAAGATCCCTACAGCATTCAGAACATCCCTGAGAATCTGAACTATGAACTGAAGATGAAGGATGGCATAGTGTATGTGTATGACAATGCCGAGGCTCTGAGAGGAAACCAGCCCCATGACCTTCCTTACCCAGACTTAGAGACCTTTGCCATAGACTTCAGTCATGTGCTGGCAATGATTGCAGACGGACCAACGTAAGTTGCCAAAACAGAAAGACACAGCAGCTATGCCGGTTGGATAAACAGCCCTCATTGTAAAACTGGCTGTTGCCTATGCGTGAAGTTACATTTGCTAATCTGAGGTCCGCTCTAATATCTCATCCACCACTCTGGTTTTCAGGAAGACGTACTGTCACAGACGACTCAATTTCTTGAGTTCAAAGTTCTACCTCCACGAGATGCTCAATGAGATGGCTGAGCTAAAGGAACTGAAAAGTGTGCCTCACAGAGATTTCTACAACGTTAGGAAGGTTAGATTTCTATTGTATCCCACAGAATTCCTCTGTAAAAACACCAAAACATATGTGTTCATGTTCTCACTTCTGCCTTAAGTTGAACTATTTGTAAAAAAGAAAAACAAGCCTTGTGTGTGTTGATCACTGAAGTTGTCCAGCAGACTGAACACGGACATTGTTTCTTTCTCTCAGGTGGACACGCATATTCATGCAGCTGCCTGCATGTCTCAGAAACACCTGCTGACCTTCATTCAGACAACATATAAGACAGATGCTGACTGTGTGGTGTTAGAAAAGGCCGGACAAAAGATGACCCTCAAGCAGGTTTTCCACAGTCTCAATAAGGACCCCTATGACCTTACCGTGGACTCTCTGGATGTACATGCTGTAAGAAAAGTAGAAAAAGGACACCATGTTTCAGCGTTATGTTCATAAAAATGTTCATTTTTAGATAAGTTGAAATGGGGAGCAACATTAACAACTTTCTCATTTTTTGTCAGAATGTGGTTATAAACAGTTTATTGTGTTCCCGTCAAGGCAAAACAATTATGGGAATTTAAATCTGCTTACAATTCCTTCACTCTCTCTGCCTCTAATTTGTGTCGCTGTCACTTCTAGTACAGGTAAATACCAGTATTGATCAGTGTGTTGATCAGTTACTGATTATTCTAACTTGACAATTATGCTTTTAATTCATAAACTTTACAGGGCCGGAATACCTTCCACCGGTTCGATAAGTTCAATTCAAAGTATAATCCAGTGGGAGCTAGTGAACTTCGAGAAATCTTCCTGAAAACAGACAACCTCATGAACGGAGAGTATTTTGCTCGCATCATAAAGGTATCGTAGCAGGTAATCACACACTGTAAGTCAGAAGCTTTGCAGAGACAGCTTAGTACACTTAGTACTTCTCTTCTTTAACAGGAAGTGGCCCATGACCTGGAGGAGAGTAAGTACCAGCATGCAGAGCCTCGCCTTTCCATCTATGGTCGCTCCCCAGAGGAGTGGGACAGTCTGTCTCGGTGGTTTATTCACCACAAAGTACACTCTCCGAACATGAGGTGGATCATCCAAGTGCCCAGAATATAGTGAGTGCTCCAGGCTTAACAAATATCCATGCTTACAATTTAAGAGAATTTCTTAAAATGTGAACTTTTAAATTTCCTAAACATACAAGACAATGTTTTTATGTGTTTCAGTGATATTTTCAAGGCAAAGAAACTGGTACCTAACTTTGCCAAGATGCTGGAGAACATATTCCTTCCTCTATTTGAGGCCACTGTTAACCCACAGAAGCACAAACAACTTCATGTTTTCCTCAAATATGTAAGATATTGTGTGTGTGTGTTTCAATGTATTTGTCAACATATTTAGTATTACACACTGTGCCCACACCCATAAGTGGAGGCTGGTGTATAAACTGATGATAGACAATATAGTTGTGATTATTTGTCTTTATAGAAGAAGAATTGTTAACAAAAGTGTGTTGAAACACACAAAGTAAGCTGTTACCTTAAAGTAAGGTGTAATTAGAAGGTAAGATTAAACAATTTGAGGGCATGAATTATTAATTTGAGGTAAGAAATTAAGCAATCCATAGATGAGCCTTATCAGTTAAACAAACAAACTAATGTGTGACATTATAAAAACTAATTTCCCTTGGTGCCTGCCATTCTTCATAAAACCACCCCAGTAGTAAATCAGTATTTATTTGTGCAGGTGTCAGGGTTTGACAGCGTAGACGATGAGTCCAAACACAGCGATCACATGTTCTCCTTCAGGAGCCCAAAGCCAGAACAGTGGACAGCAGATGACAACCCTCCATACAGCTACTACATCTTCCACATGTATGCAAACATCATGGTCCTCAACAACCTCAGGAAGTAAGTGCTAATGCCTTCTTGCCTCTTCAAAACATACTTCTTCATTAAGAAGAATTGCTTTGCTGTGAGATTGATGCGTACAAGGATGAACAGATTCAGACTGTCCCATGATTTGCTCGTATATCGATTGTCCTCTCGTGTCGTCTGTAGAGAGCGTGGACTGAGCACCTTCCAGTTACGTCCCCACTGTGGAGAAGCTGGATCAATCACCCACTTGGTCTCTGCCTTTCTCACATCAGACAACATCTCACATGGACTCAACTTGAAGAAGGTACTTCATATTTGTCGACAAGATATTCATGAATATGTGTATAAAGTGTGGATAAATACATACACATTCTGATAATAGATCAGGTTATGTTCATAATTGAGAACCTGGTAACAAAATTCAATGTTTTATATTTAACAACATATTACTTGCAAGTTCATGTGCATTTTTCTAAACTTCCCTCAGAGCCCTGTGCTGCAGTACCTGTACTACCTGGCCCAGGTGCCAATTGCAATGTCTCCACTCAGCAACAACAGCCTGTTCCTGGAATACTCCAAGAATCCTCTCCCAGAGTTCCTGCACAAAGGCCTGTGTGTGTCCCTGTCCACAGATGATCCCCTGCAGTTCCACTACACCAAGGTAAGACACACACACAGGAAATGTAATGTTTCCAGTTCAGTATGCCAGAATATTGCAGTGTGCTTTAGATGGGGTTTGTCCTGCAGTGCAAATAATAATATTAATCCATTGTTTGTGTCCTGCTCGTAGGAACCACTGATGGAAGAGTACGCTATCGCAGCTCAGCTGTGGAAGCTCAGCACCTGTGATGTGTGTGAAATAGCCAGAAACAGTGTGCAGCAAAGTGGACTGTCTCACCAGGTAGTGACACCGTTTTCTCTGCAGAATCGTCCTCACATTTGATCAACATTAGCTCCATCTGTTTCCCAATACTGCATTCTGTTGTTTGTTGACAGGATAAGAGGCAGTTCTTAGGAGTGAACTATCTGAAAGACGGACCTGAAGGGAACGATATCCGTCGGACCAATGTCGCCCAGATCCGCATGGCCTACAGACACGAGACTCTGTGGAATGAACTCAGCTTCATGGTCGATGCAGTGAAGTTTGAAGCTATGAATTCCCAGTGTGAATAAAATGGACCTTGTATTAGACAAGCATGCTGAGCTCTCAGTAATCAGCATTTACCTTTATTTTGAAAAGTGCCAGTGAGTGACTGTGATGATAAAATGAAAAATACAATATCCTCAAAGGTTTAGACAAAAGCTGTGGGAAGTACATTTAATCGCTTGTGATTAAACAAACCCACAATGTATAAACAACTGTGCCTTACACTCGTATGTCGTAGAAACAGTTTAAAACTTGACGTTTTTCCAGTTACTGTATACACTGTACACCAGACACAAGAACACTTATGGTTGAGAGAGCGTTACATAATGAGACGGCTCTGATAACAGATGATGTCTGGTACATTTCCTCTGTCTCTCCCTTAAATACTGTAGCATGTTTTAAAGACTTCATAACGACTAATGACTTTTCAAGAAATGCTTGAAATTGTTGTAGAAATGTTGCATTTACATCTGAAGCAGCAAACAGTATGTTACAAGAATAAAAGGTCTTCAGTCTTCACAATGCTTATTGTGAAGCAAACATTGCCATCCAGTGGCTAAACTGCAGCATGTAGTAACATCAGATGACTGTAAATACTAACATACAAAAATAAAAGCTCTTTATGGCCTTTATTCTGTTACATTTCTTTCAAACAAAAATATGAACACATTTGAATATCACTCAGTAGTTGTCCATGGAGTGCCTCTAAAAAACATCACATCAGAAAGTTGTTTAACTCTCATTGTCATCCACTTCTATCCTCTCATCTTCCTGAGCAGCTTTATTGGTTTCCTTTATATCCTTCACACTTGTCCACTCTTCTGTCTGGATGTATTCTTGCTGCTGCTTTATGTCGGAGCTCAGAGCACGACTCCTCCTTTTCACAGAGAGAAAGAAACAAATCATATGATGCTCTTCTAGATGTAATAATACCATTAGGACAAACATGATTTAACAACCAGTACCTGGAATTTTACACGACGGATGCGTTGTGTTATCAGTTTATCCACAGCTCTTCAGTGCTGTTGTACAGTAAAGCTTTTTTGAGCAGTGCTATTGTCTACAGAGCCCACTAAGAACCAATTCACTCTTAACTGATTCATTCATACTTTCCTCATGTAGCATCATTTAACCATAACAAAGCTATTAAATATGGAAAACTACCACTTACATTGTTATGTATGCAAGGATGATTATTGCAGTAAGGAGAAGGGCACAAGTTGAGGTGATGAGTATAGCCTTTACTGGAATAAAAAGGAAAGGGAAAAGACATTAGTCATAAGAAACAAAAGTCACACCAAATACAGATGACAAAAGATTCTTTGTAGTTTTTACTTGTATGTTTTCACGTGTTATACTGTATTTTCTGAGCAGTATGAATTGAATATGACAAAACGTTCCTCCACAGCATTAATTCCCTTGTGAATAAAACTCTCATACCTCCAGCAGAGCTTTGTGCACTGCCAACAAACCGGGCTGGTTGTGCCTCACTGTCTATGGTTTTAGGAGTTGAGGAGGAGGAAGACGTAGAGTGGGTGGTCCGGGTGGGACTTGCTGTCTTAGAAGGAAACTGAGTTTGCCTTGAGTAATCCCTCCTGTTCAAAGGGTTATCAGTTGTTGCATCCTTCAATTGTGTTGCCGCATCTGTGCATGTGCATAAAGGCCATGAGAGATTAGATACCTGTTGTATAAAGCGCAAGCCATTAAATGTTTGTTCATCAAAAATTGTTTCCGTCTCCTATTTGCAAATATGCACTGATAATGAAGTCCTTGTACATCTTGATAACACATGCAGGCATTTATAAATGGGTTTCTGGCAGCAATGGTAGATATTTAGTTTATGTATTTAGTAAAATAAACATATCACAATTGTGGAGGTTTAAAAAAACCTTTTGTGATATTCACAATTTTAGTCTAAAAATTAATTCTCATGAATTTGGAGCAAAAAACAAGTTCTGTAGAATATTTTAAAAATGCAGCTAAATCCATATTTACTCAAAATGTTAAAACATAAATTGTTAACACAGCCTATGTCAGCACTATTCACTCACATTTATCTGAGTGAATACCTTCTGACGTATATGTTTTGTTTACAGAACAAAAACTTTGTGCAGTGTTAAGAATAGCTTGCATGATATCTTCCACTAAGTATTGCCTCTTAATGTTCAGTGTAAAGCACTTGACAACAAAATGCAAAATATACAAAGGTCATACCTGATTCATTGAAGCAAAACACATCAAATTTTTGTGTAACAGACGCTCGCCATGTCACCAAGCCGCTCTGGTTTTGGCCACAATTAGAAAGGGCCTTGATGCGGGGGATGACTGCAAAATGTTCATCAATCCATCCAAACCTGAATGAAATCCAAACATGACAAAACATCAGGAACTTTCCAATAAACTCCACTGAGATGACTGACAGGATCATTTCTTCTCTGGTCTTACCTGCACGTTTCCAAACCTCTAGTGAGAGCTTCCTGGACTTGTGCTTTTGAGGCAATGGTCACCCCGAGGTACGAGCAGAGCCTCCGAGCTTCAGAGGCATTGAAGGTGTACTGAGGCTGGTTGAGGTCATCTAAGTTACTAACCTGGAATACTCCAGCAATACTTAGGTTTGCTGCTGGGAAAACTGAAAACAGCATACAAAACATTTTCCGATTTAGGTACTTTTCAGAGGAGTTGCTTACATTTATCTACAGACATTTTATTTGAACAAACAAATATATAATTTACCAAATTAATAAATATCAGAACTGCTGGATTCACTTACCTCTGATGCGGCTTGTGTCAATATTTAGATCAGAGGTGACTTGAGTAATTGATAACAGCGATGTGATGCAAAGCCAGATCATATTTATGACTAGTCAGAGTTGAGTCGGATGAAAGCAGAGTGATGGCAAGTGATGCACCGTTTATGTGCCTGTGAGCCAAATGACAGAGTTAAATAGGGTTGATGCTGTTCACTGGGGCGTGTGGACTCGGTCATTACCAGAAAGTAACGGAAAAGGAAGAGGGAAGGACTGCTCCCGGGCCAGATCAAGAGCAATCATATGTTCCCAGAGCAGAGCCCAGGAGACAAAGAGATAAAAAAATATATATATGTCAACAGGAGATAAAGCTACAGAAATGCACTGCAAAATGTAGTTAATTCATGTTCCAGGAAAAAATGTAACGGTGATTTAAACCGGATTGCTCTTGTGAAAATACAGCTTGTATTACGAGTTGTATGTCCTCATATAAGTGATATGCACTGTTACTGACATCTGACACTGGGCACCCTGTCCAAATGGTTTCCTCCCATGGGGAATTACTCAATCATGAACATGCTTATGATCTCTGGTATCCTCTGATGAGCCTTTGGCACACGACTACATCCCACTTCCACAAAAACATCTCCACACGACCTGACGGCAGGAAATGACGCAGAGCTGACGAACATGCAGCAGTGTTTTTGTCAGATGTGAGGTGTCAATGAGGGCATAATAAATGACCATCAGGAGCAATGGAAAATAAGATATTCAAATTCTCTTAAGGTGTTTGAGTGTTATGGGGTCATTGAGCTACTCCAATGAGAATTTTGATGTGTTGGAAAGTGAGAACGGACATGTTGGTGAGCAAGAAAAGAGTATATTTTGGAGAAATGTTAAAGTTACAGCCAGCAGCTACATTTACTTATTGTACTTACAACTCAGCAGGTAGTAGTGAGCAAAAAACAGAGCTATAAGAGAGTGAATATTGGACTTAAATTCACCAGGAGGCCAGAAACCGGACTCCAAATGAACAATAATGATGCTCCAAAACTGCTGGATGTGTATTTAAGTAACAAGCTCACCATATATTTTGTGTACATAACTTGTTTCCACTGTCCCGAAATGGTCCAAAAATAGTCAGAGGTTAGTATGTTAGAAGAGAGAATATAGACCCAATCGGCTTTGGTGGCATCTTATATTTATCAGTAGAAACGACTGCAATATCTTTTTAGGCACCTTTATTTAAAAGGTGAAGTGGCAGATCCTCAAATCCACAAAGAACTAACAACAAAGGTAGGCACACATGTGCAAAGAAGATAAAAATAAGCCTCATGCCATCTAATCAATGCTCTCATACAAGAAAAAATCTCTCAGTGCTCTGAAGACAATATGGCACAAACAAAAAAAGTATTTAAATACACAGAAAAATTTAACAAAACATTCCTTTATATTCTATATCTTTAAATATTAGTTGAAATCTCTTAGTAGCTTTATTATCTATTGGACCTGAGAGATTATACTTCTCTAATTTCTATAACATTAGAGTGTAGATAAATATACACTTTTTCTACTGCAGAATTTAACGGAAAATGCCATATTTATTATCAAAAGTTATCCAAACCAAAACAAAACAAGCATTTTATTTATATATATATATATATATATATATATATATATACACTGTATATCTCACTACATAATTGGTCCCTAAACAGAAATTATCTTTTTTCTCACTGCAGCAAACAATCTGTAAATTTTTCAATCCAAACACAATTATAACTTAATAAAAATTAACTGTTAACACTAAGCCTCCCAAAACGTCTTTGGCCCTCGAGAGTCAGGGTCATGGATTCAAGTGAGTCCGAGTGTGGCGATATGGTAAACTGGCAGAGACAGAGGACCACTGCCTCAGTTATTCTGTACTGGGGGTTCTTTGGTTGTCCGAAGATCTTCATCTCGCCTCGCACAAAAGCCCACCTCTGCTTACGTGTCCTCTCGTCTGTTGTAGTAGCCACTGAAGAATGTAAAAATACTGATAACCAGACACATCACCACAAACAGTGTCAGGGCGATCCAGAGAATTCGTCGACTCAAGGGAATCTTGGGACAAAACCGACCAAGAAGAACCAGGACCTCCTCCATCCTCCTGTGGAGACAAGGACTCATACAGTACACATCTGATACGTTCATTGCTGTCAACAGAGTACACTTTTACTGCAGCAAAAAAACAAACTCATCAAAGAGATCCATGTATTGAATGATGAGATGACGAGAATAATTTATACATTCGAAGGATTGGAAAATCTGATTGTATATTTGTTCATATGGCAGTTTACTCCTTCGAAATGAATTCTACCCTTTTCTTTTTGTTGTATATTTGACCATTCATGGATAGCGATATGCAAACTATGCTACTCTGTCAAGCTGTCAGAGCTACCATGGAGCCCACACTGTCACTAAATGCACTTCCCGAAGAAATATGTTTTTATCCGAAAAAAATGAACATCCAGCTTCCTGCAAGTGGCTAAAAGCTGTCCAAAATAACAAAATATATCTTAAAAGGTGAAAGGTTCATATAAATGCTGATGTGAATTTCTACCTCTTAACATTTGTTTTATCAAATGAGTTCTGTTAGAAGAAGCTCTTGGTGTATTTTAACTAATTTAATGCAGCAAACTGAAAGTTTAAGATGTGCCACATAGAGACAGGTCTTATTGAGATTTACTCTCACGATGTAGATGAGCTTCAGGTTCATTTTTAGTTTTTGCATTTTGAATGGAACTTGAAGACTAGTCATTTTGGTATGCTTATGTCAATACTGTCAAAGAACAACAAGCTGTACATTTATTTTCTTCTTAAAGCAACAGGTTCAGTTTACCTGCTTGTCCTTCTCTTCTTTCCGCTCTCTTCATCCTTATTCGATTCAAGCAATTTCTCTGCAGCGTCTTCCTCTTTCTGCTTCTCCTCCTGGAGCACTTTGATTTGCTTCTGTCCTTCTTGGAAGCTGCATTGACAAGGTTCAAATTAACCAACAAGATCTAAGGATATACAGTATTAATATTTACGTCCTATCATCAGGCAGTGACACACAACGTGGAATTTATTCAAAGTCTCTGTATACATAACATAATATACACCTGCACAACAAGTACAACATAACTGACGAGTCCCATAAATGTGGTGGTTTATGGTGAGAAACAACAATGTCATCATTGAATGTTTGCGTGTAGTTAAGGATGAGGAGAGACGGCCTCACCCTTTATTATACGACTCCTCCTCGATCTTTGCCTTGAGCTCGGCTCTGATCTCTGCTCTGATCTCTTCCAAGTTGAGTGGAGGTTTGGCTGGCACGCTTTCCTGCTCCGACACGCTCTTTCCACTGCATTGTTTCAGATGGGAAAGAACAATCAGCCTTGGACACCAACACCATCACAGCAGAGGTTATAAAACCGATAGGAGTGCACATTTAGGTTTCATCACAACACTGTGGCCTTGTTATATAACGGACAACCTGCAGCACTGGAGAGGCAGCGTGCATTACAGACACCACCGCAGGCGAGAACGTAAAAAAATGGAGCTGGCACTTTGCACATTTGTTTTTGCTATTCTTGTCTCCTCCCAGAACATCTCGACACTTGAGAGCGCCACTCAGGCTCTCTATTAAACCAGGATATGATTGGAGCCTTGTGCCTGGACTTTGTCAAACTCTTTGCACAAATGTTTAGATTACGACCCAGGATAGCATATCCATCAAGTGCAGCAGGGTTTGATTATTTTTTGTGCTGTCAGGGATATTTTCACCCCACTGGGGCTTTTCTCTACACCGTAAAACACATCCTGAAGGTCACATAAACAAGACAAAGGTCCCACTGCAGCACAACATGCTTTTGATAAGAATGATAACAAGTTCAGGTTGGTCTTGGCCCATTGTTTCAGGACTGTGTGGGGACCTTGGGAATCAAGCAATGGTATGTGTACACACTGTATGCATTCATGTGTTTATGTGTGCGTGCAAGAAAACACCATGACATGAAACATACCATTCTGCTGCTGGTTGGGCTTTCTCTGTGGCAGCGTTGCTTTTCACATCATTCGCTTCACACTAAAGAGGAGGGTGTTGAATATTTTGGAAGAAATTATTGCCTTCTTACAATAATACACAATAAACAGAAACCATCAAAGAAGTTTAGAGGGGAAATGCCTCTTGAGGGGGACTGCTAACAACTCAAAGACACCTATAATGTTACAAGAAACCCCAAATAGACTCTGCTGTTTGGGAATCGTTTTTTCATAACCTTATCACATTACAATACCTCCCTTTGACAGCAGTAGAGTAACAATACAAGCAGCATCATTTGGAAATAATAGAGTTAAGTACAATAATCTCAAACTTGTACTTAAGAGAATATATTTAGTTACTTGCCACCACTGACAAGTAATATAGATATGACCTGGATCAGAATTTAGAATCAGAATTTTATTATTATTAACCAGTAAATTACAATAATAGCAATATGAGACAAATGGTTTACGTTCAAAAACACAATTTTTACCCATTTTGAAATCAAAAGAAACAGAATGTCCTGAATAATGTCCTAAAAGCAAATGATTTCATATCTAAGTGATGACACACATTGTAGAAAGCTTTGACTCAGCAGTCAATCGGACACAGTGAGCGTCACTGCATTAAATGCTTGAAATGTAATTTCCCATCAGTTTCCGACAGGACAGGACAGGACAGGACAGGACAGGATGACCTACCAGGACAGGAAGAGCAGCACCAGCGGTCAGTCCTATGCTGGGGCCCGGGCCGGCTATGGCTGGAGTCTGACCTGGGATGTTCAGGAGGTTAAATTTAGGCACCACTGCTACGCTCACCCTACGTCTGGGCAGAGCCTAGTGAGGGTGAAAGGAGACAGAACATGTGCCAGTGGTAAGGATGCAAAATAAGAATTTAGGGATGGAAATTTTTTTTTCTTTTCCATAAACTACAACTACAAAGGCATGATGATGTCACCAAAAGAAGATTCATTATTTCATTAATGTAATAAGAAACACAAAAGAACGCATAAAACAGGACATTTTGACATTTTTAGTGTTAATTAGCCCATTTTAGCATGCCAACACGCTCAACCAAGATGGTGAACATTGTAAACAGTACAACAGTATATGCTTAGCATCACATTAACGTTTAGCGCTACATACAACCTCACAGAGCTGGTAGCATGACTCATAGTTTCATTACAAGATATCCACAAACACAAAAAAGTCTGACTGACTAAAAGTCCGAACATTCAATTTAAAACCATGTGAAACAGAGAAAATCATCAAATCTTCACATTGGAGAAGCTGGAATCAGAGAATGTGTTTAATAGATGACTTTTAAATGACAAGTAACCATTTATCAAAACGTTGTATTTTTTTGTTGATCTTAATATAATCGAATAATCGTTATTCAGCTATTATTATTTCAGCACAAAAAAATGGAAAAACTGAAGCACTTACCTTTCCCAGGGTGAGGGACATCGATCTTGATGGCCGTGGAACTCCATCATCTTTATAGACGCACAGAATACAGCATTAAATGAGCACAGAAACCATTCATTTCACGCTGGTATTGTTGCCAGAGCAGCAGTGAAGCTGCTCAGTGAGATGGTATTAAGATAGTCCCTGATAAAAATACTTTCATAGGGCAAAGCAGCAATAATGCTAAATGAAGATGCTTCATCAAACCTTGTCTGGATTATAAAGTTTAAAAATATTTTCCATTTATAAGCATGAAACAATTTGTAGAGAAAAGATGTAATGTTTCTGTGTTTAGCTGTGCTTGATGTGAATGTGGTCAATAGCACAGTCTTACCTCCAGCATCTACGGACCCTCCGTAACTGCGATTTGAATTCTGGTTGGCCAGCTTCTTGAACTCCATCAGCTCTGCGTGGTCCTTCTCATACGTCCTTTTCAGATTTTCCACATATTGCATCATAACCTCGGTGGCCTTGTTCATACGTTTCTCCTGTTGCACAAAGAAAATCAGTCCATATGGCAAGACAATATATGAGCACAGACACGTGACTAACCGAAAACATTTTAGCAGAGAGTTTAAACACAGGACTCTTCGTGAAAGGAGCTGTGAAGAAAGCTACAAAACAAGCTGAAATTTGACCTATTTAACTAAATAACTGCAGGCTTCCCATCAACATTGTGTTTTTGGCCACCTGATGAATATAAGTCCAGTATCAACTGGTGTACTCTTGTTTTATGGTTTGGTCTCCCCAAATAACCGTCTTTTTACGTTCAACTTTCTACACCAGCGCGTTGCTAAGTTTGTGTGTCAGCCGTTTGGAGCTGGGCAGGTAGTGTGCAGTGGGTTAATCGGAGGTTTTTGCTCAAAGCTGCTGACAGCTTTTGGGAACAGGGTTGAAAAGAGTAGTGAGACCAAACCATACAGGAGCATTTGTTGTAAAACCAAAACAGATGTTAAAATATGCACATAGCTCATGGAGAGAAATACCTTGTGGAAAAGACCTTATAGTTACAACATATCCTGCTTCATATATTTGAAAAGATTAAAATATATAAATGTGGCTGTCAAGAAAACACACTGAAAGTCAAGAGAATTGGTAAAGCCTGATAATTAGATTGTTATTTATAGATGGGTAGCAGTACAAGGAAAATATAAAAAAGGGCAGTCATTCATCAGAGTGGTTTGGGATTATAAATAGCGAAAGACCTTTGTGCTGCATAAACAGTAAATTTGCTCTTTAACTGATGTTTGGTTTGGCCGGCATGAGGTCAGCCATGACATCGGATAAAGATCTTCCCTATGATGTTTTTAAATGCTGCCAAACAGGCATCCCAGTGACCCAGAGACATCCTGAAAAAGACAGCATCTTTTAAACAATAAGATGTACTGTTTATTTACACAATGCAGCGTTCTCTTTATCTGTTCTGCATTCCCTCGGTTTGCATTGTCATCCGAATTGTGTTTGTATGACTGTACCTGTCGAACTGCTCCGACGATCTCTGATCTGCTGGAGAGTCGTGTGGCCAGCCGGTGCAGCACCGCCACAGTCTCTATGAGGCGCTGGTAGGCCTCACGCTGCTCCAAATTCTGCCACTGTGGCGAAGTCATCTGCAGGAAACAACAATTTTGTTACAACTCTCTCAGGAAAACAAAGTGTACATCAATGTCCTCTTCTGTACCTGGGATTGGACTCAGACAAGATAAATATTTCCTGTGGGACATTTCCAGGAAACATTAAAGAGACGAACGAGCACTAAAGAGCCAGAGGGAACTAATATCAGCTGCTGCGTTCGAGGGCTGACCTTCAGTGCTCCTTTGAACTCCTCCAGTTCTTTCTCTGTGTCTTCCTCAGTCAGGTTCCTCTCCCTCTCTGACTGTTTGAGCCGCATCTCCAGAGTGTAGTTGTCATTACGATATGCCAGTGACAGCTGGACAAATGCGTTCTGTGGGGAGGAAGTTACTGCAATGTAACACTTGGAATGGTACGTTAAACAGCACACTGCATACAGATGAACTGCTGGTGATGGCAACACACCAACTCAGAGGAATCCATAGAAAACTCTCCCACAGTGACAAATGAGAGCCAGTGCGGTTGTTTGCGTAATACTAATGTGCATTTTTATAGGTTAATGTGTGAGTGAATACCGAGCAGCCATGAGGGAAACACAGGGAACAAGCTGTGATTCTGACATTTGACCACTTGATGTTTTGCTGAGTTGATCAAAGCAAGTCTGCACAGTTTTCCGACATACACGGGCCACGACTGAGAGGAAATATATGACCTCTGACTGTCCTGATCCAGACGCATCCCAGTGGGAAAAGCGAGAGAGGCTGCAGGCCGAGCCCGACAGCGCCACTAATGTTTGCATTTTTCTCCACAGGAAATAACTCAAATGTCTCCTCGGTCTGACCAGGAACAGAAAAACGCTTTCCTGTTGACAAAACACCGTCACTCAGGCAGACCATTTTTGCAAAGATGTAATTAACTACTTTGGTAACAAAACTGATTATTATGAACATTGAGCAACGCACAGCAAATGTTCAGCAGTGAGTGGAACAAAAGATCAGAGTTCTCTGATTGAAACGGTGTTTGAACACAATTTACTGCTCAAAGTAAACGGATTACAGTCGGCAGTCTATCTTATGACCAATTGTATGAAGTCTCATGCACACAGTTAATTACTGCGGAGCATTTTGAAGGCGGAAATTAGAATGAGAATATTAAATTGAATATATTTTCTTCTGGGAAGCAGAAAATTATATGAGGCAAAGTTGTATTACTGTTTTTTTTGCTATATAACTAATTAAGTTGCTTTTAAGTAGTAAACGTATTTGCAAATAAAGCAAGTCTCTTAAACAGACCACCAAAGCGATTAAAAAAATATTATTATTAAAGGAATAGTTAAATCCAATTTTGGGAAATGCACTTTTTTGTTCTCTTGCCAAGTGTTAGATGAGAAGATTGGTACCACTCTATAGACTGGAAATGAAGGGAAACAACTAGCCTGGTTCTGTCCAAAGCTAACAAAGAGAAAATAAATGCATTTCCTCAATTCTAAAATGATTCATTTAAATTGCAGACAAGCACAAGCAAAGCACCACAGAAAAAAACAAAATCAACTGTAGCATGTATGGACAACACTTAATTCCTCACCATGAAAGATAACAATATGATGTTTTTGTGACTTTGTATCTTTACTTTTAGCAGAAATACTGTGTGAGAATCACCCAAAACCTGAACAGATCAGATACCAACCTCAACTTCTTTTTCAGTGAGAGGGGGTGCACTGGAATGAAATCAAAGAGGAACCGTTAGTATGGTGAGTAATGTACATACATGCGTCCACAGTAAAATGAAGATGTGTGATATTTTTATCAATTAGACAGGAAATGTTGATGCACACCAGCCTGGTAGACCTCGGTGGAGTTTGAGTTTTCTCAGCATCACATCTGAAATGTTTGGCATGGAGTCGAACTTCTCCTTTGCCTCCTCACTGCTGGCTGAGTTTGGAGAAGGTGGAGCTCCTGCAGACACAGAGATACACAAATCAGTCCGAAAGCAAATTACCTGTTATTTTTCTAATTAGGCTTTGATTCCAGTCTCAAGTAATTTGAGACCGATTTAAAATCAAGACTCAAGTGCTTTAGTCTACAAAAGACCACACATCTAGAAGGTGAAACTAGGTTACTTTCCCTGAACTGCAGCCACTGTGCCCACAAGTGGCAACAACGGGACAATAATGTATCCTGAAATGTAGCATTTCTTAATTTCTTTTCATTCTGATTTTCCTTTTGTAAGATGGCGGCGTTATTTCTTCTTTCAAACATGACATCGTCTCGCTATAGGTGACCTGTAAAACAAATGAGGCATTTGTACAGTTTCCTTCAAAGATGTGTTGATAGTTAATAGATTCTGTTTTTAAGTCAAAACCTGTGACTTTGTGTGTGATTGTCAAGTCAAATTGTCAGCCTGTCAAGTCTCAACTAAGTCAAGTATCAGTGACAGTGGAACTAAAGTCTCGAGTCTGAATTTTTGTGACATAGTTTCCAAGTCTACAGCTCCGTCTCTTTCCAAAACACACAAAACACATAGAACCATCTCATTGCATCTTCCTCGGGTGGTCTTTGGCTCACATACTTCTACTCACAACAATCATGCCATCTGCTGATGGAAAACGCAAACAGCATTTATTTCTCTGTTATGACATTGCCAGTAAATGGGGGGCACAGAGGGGGAAAAAAAACAAGAACAGATCATCATCATCATCATTTGCTGACTGGAACAGATTTTCCCTGAGATTCAGGAAGTGCACACCCTTGGCGACATTGCTGAACGTACTTGCTGAAAGTACTTTCTGTCTTACATGGCCGAGAGGGAAACCAATGACTGTTACCTCTTTCCTGTTCAGCAGCTTCACTCAAGTCCGGTAACTTGGATCCCACTATGCTTTGGTTACGCATCAGCTTGTGCTCCTGTATACACAAAAGCACACACGCATGAACACAAGAACAAAGCATTTACACAACATTTTACAGAAGAGGTATTTTACTACCAAAACAAGCAGTAATTAACCGAATGTGCTGAACCGATTCTTTACCTCTCTGAATTTAGACAGTTTCTGTACACCTCCCTGCTGAGTGGGGAGGTCTTTGTAGCCCGAGGACTTGAAGGCAGCATCCCTGGGCTTGTCTGAGAGGGTATCCTCCGCTGTAGGAGGGAAACTTGGGGCGCCATTTCTAGAATTGAGGGTGCCTACAGTATCCCAGGAAACAGCCCTCATAAGCGGAGGGAAGGCCCCGATCGTCTTGATCTCTGCTGTACAGGGGGCCTGTTGAGTAGGGGGTCGAGGGACGGGCTTGGCCACCCCTGTGGCCGGGGCCTGGTTGAGGTTTCGACCTGGACCAGGTCCCTCATCTGCTTTACCGACTGCTGGAGGACTTTTAGGTACAGCAGGATCACAGTTCTCCTTCTGAACAGCAAAACGGGGCGTTAGCGTCCCAGAGGACACTTTCCTCTTCTCAGAGGGCCTCCAGTCCACCAACAGTCTGTTGCCCTGAGGTTAGCAAGATAATAACTGCTATTAATACATTTAGCAATCATATTATATTAATAACCAACTTCACCTTGTAGATGTTGAGATATTTCTTGGGATAATTGAAACATTTGAGGGGATCAAAGTCATGAGGAGTTCATCTGGGAAGCAAGAATGTCTGTATAAAATGTAATGACAATTGCTGTCACTGCGACATTTCTGTCTGGACCAAAGTGGTAGACACGCTGACAATGCCATCCCTAGAGAGCCACGCCCCTGCTAGCATAAATAAAAACCTCTTTAAACTAAAGCAACCATTCAAAAAAGAAGTCAGTAAACATTTTTGCAACCTTTGGAAGTATTGAGATGTTTTCCATGTGTGTGGGAGTAGACTCTTGTTCTTTTGCATGACTTCCCTCTTCTACAAACCTCTCTATCAGATATAATACAAACCATATAAAGTTTGTTATATCTGTGTTAATAAAAAGAAACGGTGAGTGAATATGTTAATCTGACCTCTTGATCCTGTGTCGTCAAGTCAGGCTGATCTCGCACTGAAGGAACTTCCAGATGCTGCAAGAGAGGACAACATAGGACATTTTCTTATGTTTCTTATGTTAACAAATATTAATGAGACCATTTAAAAACACAGTAAAGGGAAATAAAATGAACTCTGCCAGTTTTAATAGGGGAAAATGAGCATGCGTCAAAAATATCTGCATTACAACTCACACTATCGTGAGCGAACAATCACTTCTTTACCTGACCAACCAACTGTGAGTTGACATAGGTTGCCTCTGTGGGTCCTCCAGCTGAAACAGCAGAACATGACCAACAAAATCATTCTTGCAAAGTCCAATGGACAAAAAGTGATCGAAAAATAAGGTAGAAAAGTTATAAATAAATCGCTAACAGTTGTTTTTAATAGTGCCTTACCAATTTGAGGAGCAACAATCAGTGAGCTGCTTCTAGATGAACACGGTGAGGATGACGGAGTTAGAGTTGGAGAAAGACCTGTGGGGAAAAAACCCAAAAATATTTGTGAATTAAACACATGACTTATTGAGTTCAATGTGACTTCCGACCTCTTTTACCTCAGAATGCTCAGAATCTCCCCCAAAAAATCTAGAAAACTAAGTGAAACTCACTAAGACAACAGCTCAAATGAGCTGCTATGTACTGCGTGTATATCTGTGTGTGTGTTTGTGTGTGTGTATTGCTACCTGTGGGTGAGTCAGTGAGGGAGCGGCGGCCGCGGCGTGTCAGGAAACGGTCGCTGACCTTCTTGGCCTGTTGGAGCAGATCCAGGTTCGTCTGTCGATCCTCCTCAGAGAGCTGCAGCTCCGGCAGCTGATCTTTCAGCAGGTCAATCACATTACCTGTGCTGTCTGAGAAAGAGAATACACACATGCACACACACACAAGCACACTTTTGTGGTTGTTTGTTTAAAGGCAAACGAAATGCAGTTATAGACAAGTCAATATGCTCGTTTGCTTCCTCAAACATTCTTTTAATTTTTAGATGATACATTTTGTACAATGACTCTTTGGGGAAAAGAAAATAACAAAGTCTGTGAGTGCTTTTGGATTTGAAGAGGATATTTCTCAGTATAAAGTCTCATGCCAATGAATAATTCACAGATGGATGTGAGCCAATAAATCAGGTGATGAGGTTCGGCCAAGTCAGGGATGTTTTTATCTCCTCTCTTCAGAGAAGGGCAACAAGTTAAACATCAAAAGTAATCTAAGCTGTAAAAGCATCTCAGGCATGCGGGAGGACACACAGATTTATCTCTCAGGACGCAGATGACCAAACTTAGTCGAAATGTAGTGAAGCTTCTTCGAATTATTTTGGCTTTATTCATCCTTGGAAAGACAGATCTTTCAACAAAGTTACAAATACCCACTTAAAAACAGTGACTTCAATTTGGTGCGGGACTAAAGCAAATGTTGCCAATGATAACATCAGAATAGCTCTCACAGTGTTGTGGCGATCTTTATATAATGGCAGCTGCAGTATGTGTGTGTGTGTGTGTGTCTGTATACAAAGTTTACCCACCGACAGTGGTGATGGGTCCTCCAGAGGAGTTTCTGGCCAGGCGAGCTCTGGGACTGTGTGGCCTGAGAGAGAGGAAACAGTAATGATACAGATACATTGTCCCCGTTTACAGCTTAAAAAAAAAGAAGAAAACTGTTGTAGTGTTTGAGATGGACGATTACCTGGTCTGCTCCAGAGGACGTCCATCTTGTTGGACAATAATGGCCTGCTGTGGGTAGACGATGGTGGGGGCAGTCATGACGATAGCTTGACTTTTGCCCGGTGTAGACTGTGCAAAAGAAATTGTAAAAAAACAAAAACACACGCAACAAAACAAACGTCAATGGTAAAACAAAGTTACAGCAATACTGGCATAGGTGCAATACATGTTTTCCTTTGTGTTGGAATATGCATTATTTTAGCACAATATTAACAGACAGACATAAAATGTATTAAAACTAGATTTTGACAAAAACAACAAGAACAAGATGGGGCCTCAGAAGTAGATAAAAGTGAAGTTCATATTGTGCTACAGTTGGGCATACTCCCAAACAAATGAACATTAAATCCAGTGACCACAAACAATGAAGGTGGGCGCCTTTAATGACCCTGAGAGGGGTTGGCCTCGGGGCAGTTAGGCACTCTGACCAGCTGGTAATCCAGATTTAACTGCAGTGACTCCAGACACATTTGAGCAAACACTAAAGATTTCCTTCCACTATTGTGGTCATCATAAACCGAATATTGATTAAATACTTCAACACATCTCTAAAAGTCGTGATAAATCACAGCGTTGGTTACATAGAGCTTTAGGTTGAGGGTGGGAAGAAAGACTCACTTCAAGGAGAATCTCCTCAAAATTATGTTTGATAAAAAAAGAAATGCTGAAGAAGTTTTGCTCAATGTCAAGTTGTAAAGGATCAGTCATTTGTTAGAAATAGAGACACAACATAACGAGTATGAATACCCCAGAGTGAAAATGAAAAAGAACAAATCAACACTCAGATAAAATATGTTCGGTGTGAACATTGTCATAAAAAATACGGGACTCACAAAAGACAGATTAAAAAAAGTAAATGGTGAAAATCAAAGCAGCGGAGGCAGAGACATCCAGACTTTTAGTCTTATGCGTGAGAATGCTAGATCCTACACCTCTCATACTGCAGGCCTTCTGTCCAGAGCCACAGACCACATTATATAACTATTCACAGGATCAATTGGACTCCTAGTGACATGAGTAAACCGGACTTCATGAATAAAATTGGTGAAGCACCCGTTCAACAATTCCACAGTTTCAAAAATGTGGAAAACTTCACATCTTCATAAATTATGGGTCATTCCATTCCTGTTCATTCCCAAATCCTTGTCCAACCATAATAAGAAAATAGGCAAGTAAACACAGACTGAGATCAAACACTAATTCCGTAAGAGCTCCTTTCAGCTTATCTTTGCACTAGAACCCAAATAAAAGGATTCCTGCTGGTGGTAAAGCTGCAGAAAGGCCACGGCCGTGCTGTAGTGAAGGTTGATACGTTTACAGTGTTGGCATATGCTCTGAAGATTTGATTAAACAGCTTCATTACATTCTGCAGAGATGCGTTATCTAGTCTCTGTGTTTATAAGCGACTGCAGCGGAAGACAATGTTCTCAGACTGCTGAACACTTTGCTGTCTGCAGGATGTTTGCTGATTTAACTTCTGAATCTGACCCCTTCAAAATTATACTCTCCATATACATGTGACATGCTGAAAAAGATATGCCTCTAATATGGGGATGTTTATGACTCAACGGGTCAGTTAACCCAAAGGAGAAAAAGATTTGAGGATTAAGAACAAGTCGTGAATCTGACGTAGACTTTTCTGAAGACCTTTCTTAAGAACAAACTTAAGATATTGGCAAATGAGGCAGAATGTCCTCTCACTTAGGAGGGATTGATCAAATGTTTTTACTGCTAAACTATAAGAAGCATTTTGAGGTTAAAGAAGAAACCTTGAGGGCAGACGTTCAGTAGCAACATTGACAGAATTTCCTCACCAGAGCCAAATGGATTATTCTGTGACCGATTTTATGGCCTCACATGCTTTTTCCAAAAACAGAATGTGCGTTTCAAAAAGTGACACTCACTGTACTGGGAGAGCTGGATGAACTGTCCAGCTCCTCGGGGGAATCCTCCTCTTCCTCAGGCAGTGTGGGCATGGTGTGGAGCAGTGGGGGGCGTGAGCGAGTGTGGGGGAAAATAAAAGGTCTCTCAACGTCGCAGGACTCAGCACAGGGCTCAGCACAGGACTCAGCACAGG